ATTATCAGTGTATAGATACTCAGTATTATTATACAGAGCGGCGTGTTCATTATCAGCATATAGATACTCAGCATCATTATACAGAGCGCTGTGTTCATTATCAGTGTATAGATACTCAGTATTATTATACAGAGCGGCGTTTTCATTATCAGTGTATAGATACTCAGTATCATTATACAGAGCCGTGTGTTCATTATCAGTGTATAGATACTCTGTACCATTATACAGAGCGGTGTGTTCATTATCAGTGTATAGATACTCAGCATCATTATACAGAGCGGTGTGTTCATTATCAGTGTATAGATACTCATTATTATACAGAGCGGTGTGTTCATTATCAGTGTATAGATACTCAGTATCATTATACAGAGTGCTGTGTTCATTATCAGCGTATAGATACTCAGTATCATTATACAGAGCGGTGTGTTCATTATCAGTGTATAGATACTCAGTATCATTATACAGAGCGCTGTGTTCATTATCAGTGTATAGATACTTAGTATTATTATACAGAGCGGTGTGTTCATTATCAGTGTATAGATACTCAGTAACATTATACAGAGCGCTGTGTTCATTATCAGCGTATAGATACTCGGTATCATTATACAGAGCGCTGTGTTCATTATCAGCAGGGCCGGACTGGGAAAAAAATTCGGCCCGGGCATTTTTTTATCACAGCGGCCCACTAAGAAGGGGGCGGGGCAGAGAGGGTGTGTTTTGTTATCACTCATGACAAACACGCCCCCTCTCAAAGTGAGCATGTTGGTTCAATGCTCTTCCAGGGCAGACCATGCACAGAGTTCTGCTGAAGAGCTCTAGCATGAGAAAAAAGCCCTGTATTTGTTCTGCGCAGTGCAAGCAAATTTAATAACATGCTTGCACTGTGTTTCCTTGCAACTTATCTCTGGTGTCTCTATAAATGGATACCAGGAGACAAAAGGGCCAGGAAAGAGTATTGTGCATGTGTTTTGGAGCCTGCTTGGGGTATTGCGTGTGTGCAGAGTGAGCTGGTCGTGGTGTGGTATTGTGTAATAAGGTCGGTTTTAGTCGTGTTGTGTTTGTGGTGTAATGTAATGCATATGTGGCTGGGGCTTTAGAGAATGTGTGTTTAGGGGATGTAGCAAGTGTGTGTATACAGGCTATAGTGTGTGTGTGTGTGTGTGTAGGTGATGTAGTGTTTGTAGAGAGTGTGTGTTCAGGGAATGTAGTATGTGTTTGCTTATAAGGAATCTAGTGTGCGTATAGGGGATCCAGAGTGTGTGTGTGTTTGAAGGACCCAGAATATGTATAGGAGATCTAGTGAGCGTGCGTATATAATGGATTCAGAGTGTATATGAGTGTGTGTATGTGTGTAGATGATCCAGAGTTGGGTAGAGGATCTAATGTGTGTCTGGAATGAAATGTGTTTAGGGGTGCTGTGTGTGTGTGTGAGGGGTGCTGTGTGTATATTTATATGTGTATATATATTATATAAATATGTTTGGAAGTATTGTGTATGTGTGTTAGGCAGTGTATCGGGGGGTTGTGTGTGTATGTGAGGAGTGCAGTATGTGTGTGTGATGGATCCTGTGTGTGAGGTGTGGGTGCTGTGTGTGATTGATTTGTGTGAGGGTGCTGTGTGTGAGGGTGCTGTGTGTGTGGGTGCTGTGTATGATGTGTGTGAGAGTGCAGAGTGTGATGTGTGTGAGAATGCTGTGTGTGAGAGTGCTGTGTATGATGTGTGTGAGAGTGCTGAGTGTGAGAGTGCTGTGTATGATGCATGTGAGAGTGCTGAGTGTGAGAGTGCTGTGTATGATGTGTGTATGAGAGTGCGGTGTATGATGTGTGTGAGAGTGCTGAGTGTGAGAGTGCTGTGTATGATAGTGCAGAGTATGAGAGTGCTGTGTATGATGTGTGTGAGAGTGCAGAGTGTGATGAGTGTGAGAGTGCTGTGTATGAGAGTGCTGTGTATGATGTGTGTGAGAGTGCTGTGTATGATGTGTGTGATGAGTGTGAGAGTGCTGTGTATGATGAGTGCTGTGTATGATGTGTGTGAGAGTGCAGAGTGTGAGAGTGCTGTGTATGAGAGTGCTGTGTATGATGTGTGTGAGAGTGGAGTGTGAGAGTGCTGTGTATGAGAGTGCTGTGTATGATGTGTGTGAGAGTGCAGAGTGTGATGAGTGTAAGAGTGCTGTGTATGATGTGTGTAAGAGTGCAGAGTGTGATGAGTGTGAGAGTGCTGTGTGTGAGAGTGCAGAGTGTGATGAGTGTGAGAGTGCTGTGTGTGAGAGTGCAGAGTGTGATGAGTGTGAGAGTGCTGTGTGTGAGAGTGCTGTGTGTGATGAGTGTGAGAGTGCTGTGTATGAGAGTGCTGTGTATGATGTGTGTGAGAGTGCAGAGTGTGATGTGTGTGAGAGTGCTGTGTATGATGTGTGTGAGAGTGCAGAGTGTGATGTGTGTGAGTGCTGTGTATGATGTGTGTGAGAGTGCAGAGTGTGATGTGTGTGAGAGTGCTGAGTGTGAGAGTGCTGTGTATGATGTGTGTGAGAGTGCAGAGTGTGATGAGTGTGAGAGTGCTGTGTATGAGAGTGCTGTGTATGATGTGTGTGAGAGTGCAGAGTGTGATGAGTGCAGAGTGTGATGAGTGCAGAGTGTGATGAGTGTGAGAGTGCTGTGTATGATGTGTGTGAGAGTGCAGAGTGTGATGAGTGTGAGAGTGCTGTGTGTGAGAGTGCAGAGTGTGATGAGTGTGAGAGTGCTGTGTGTGAGAGTGCAGAGTGTGATGAGTGTGAGAGTGCTGTGTGTGAGTGCAGAGTGTGATGAGTGTGAGAGTGCTGTGTATGAGAGTGCTGTGTATGATGTGTGTGAGAGTGCAGAGTGTGATGTGTGTGAGAGTGCAGAGTGTGATGAGTGCAGAGTGTGATGAGTGTGAGAGTGCTGTGTATGATGTGTGTGAGAGTGCTGTGTGTAAATGTGTGTTGGGGGGGTAAATAAAAAACTAAGGGGGTGGGGGGGGTAAATAAAGAAATTTAAAAAAAAAACCTAAGTAGGCATTAAATCTCCCCTCCCACTTACCTTTAGCCTGGGAGGGGGGACCGGCATGGTGGTAGCTGGGAGGAGGGGGGACCGGCACACTCACATCATCCCTGGTGGTCCAGTGGTGAGTGAACTCTAGCCTGCGGGCTAGAGTTCACTCTCGCGAGATCCGGTCGTTGCCATGGCAGCGCGCCGGATCTCGCGAGAGGAACCCGGCGGAGCTGCAAGATAGAGCTCCGCCGGGTCCTCTCCCTCCCTCCCCAGCCGCAGGTCTATTTAAATGGGCCGGTGAGGGAGCTCTTTGATCTCCCCACCGGCCCTCCGTGGAAGACAGCGGGGCCGGCGCTCGGATAGTGCCGGCCCTGCATAGACCGGCAGGGGAGATCCTGGGACCTCCCCTGCCGGCCTCGGCCCCACGGCCACCGCGGCCCACCGGGCATTTGCCCGGTGTGCCCGATGGCCAGTCCGGGCCTGATTATCAGTGTATAGATACTCAGATTATTATACAGAGTGCTGTGTTCATTATCAGTGTATAGATACTCAGTATTATTATACAGAGCGGTGTGTTCATTATCAGTGTATAGATACTCAGATTATTATACAGAGCGGCGTGTTCATTATCAGTGTATAGATACTCAGTATCATTATACAGAGCGGTGTGTTCATTATCAGTGTATAGATACTCAGTATCATTATACAGAGCGGTGTGTTCATTATCAGTGTATAGATACTCAGTATCATTATACAGAGTGCTGTGTTCATTATCAGTGTATAGATACTCAGTATTATTATACAGAGCGGTGTGTTCATTATCAGTGTATAGATACTCAGATTATTATACAGAGCGGCGTGTTCATTATCAGTGTATAGATACTCAGTATCATTATACAGAGCGCTGTGTTCATTATCAGTGTATAGATACTCCGTATCATTATACAGAGCGCTGTGTTCATTATCAGTGTATAGATACTCAGTATTATTATACAGAGTGCTGTGTTCATTATCAGTGTATAGATACTCAGTATTATTATACAGAGCGGTGTGTTCATTATCAGTGTATAGATACTCAGTATCATTATACAGAGCGGTGTGTTCATTATCAGTGTATAGATACTCAGTATCATTATACAGAGCGCTGTGTTCATTATCAGTGTATAGATACTCAGTAACATTATACAGAGCGCTGTGTTCATTATCAGTGTATAGATACTCAGTATCATTATACAGAGCGCTGTGTTCATTATCAGTGTATAGATACTCAGTATCATTATACAGAGCGGTGTGTTCATTATCAGCGTATAGATACTCAGATTATTATACAGAGCGGCGTGTTCATTATCAGTGTATAGATACTTAGTATTATTATACAGAGCGGTGTGTTCATTATCAGTGTATAGATACTCAGTACCATTATACAGAGCGGTGTGTTCATTATCAGCGTATAGATACTCAGTATTATTATACAGAGCGGTATGTTCATTATCAGTGTATAGATACTCAGTATTATTATACAGAGCGCTGTGTTCATTATCAGTGTATAGATACTCAGTATTATTATACAGAGCTGTGTTCATTATCAGTGTATAGATACTCAGTATCATTACTGAAGCTGTGTTCATTATCAGTGTATAGATACTCAGTATCGTATACAAGCTGATGTATTCATTATCAAGCATTATAGATACTCAGATTATTATACAAGCGTGTTCATTATCAGTAATATAGATACTTAGTATTATTATACAGAAGCGGTGTATTTCGTATTATCAGTGTATAGATACTCGGTACCATTATACAGAGCGGTGTGTTCATTATCAGCGTATAGATACTCAGATTATTATACAGAGCGGCGTGTTCATTATCAGTGTATAGATACTTAGTATTA